TCCTTTTAAGTTGTCGGATGCATATCTTGAGTTATAGAAGTCCAAAAATGGTAGTTCTAGTTGTGTTAATCTTGTGATGACATTCTATAGCTAATAAAAATATTAAACATGCTAGTTGTGTACTATTTTTATAATGTTTTGATTTAATCTTATTAAATAGGCAATTTTAGCTTGTTTTACTTGTTATTCTCATATCTAAAGTTGTGGTGCTCCAATTGCTATGAAATTTTTTTGGGAGGCCACTAATGCTATATGTGTGCTGTGGTAAAAATGTTATGTTCATTATATGCAGTATGGTTGAGATATTGTTTTAACTGGATTAATGCTTGATATATGGTTTTAAATAAGTTATAATTTTATATAGGTGTAAAAATGGAAAATGTGGTTCTACTACCTTTGTACGATGTTGTGCTACCATAATAACATATAATATGGCTATGTGTTTATATAAAATGATGATCTTTAGAGTTATCTTGTTTTTACATGTTTTCTTGCAATAACAATTTGTCTTTTTCATAGTAATGAAATTATAAAACCTGAGCACGTGAAATTGATGCAATAGCCATGTTTTGATAACATCTACCACTCATAAAAATCTCAGCCCCAAACTAATTGTTCTCATATATCACTAAAATTATATATATGTTTATTAGGAAAAGGATTAATAAAAGCATAAGTGTAAATAAAGCTTGTAATTATATTTGGTGATGCTTTAAGTGATTGGTGTTCAATAAAGTGTTGCTAAATATGTTAGTGGTGGTTGAAGTTCTTGAATGGCTCATGTGTGCATGCTCTTTGTTAGCAAAATAAGTGAAACATCAAATTGTTACATTCTGAAATGGTTGCATGTGCATTTTTTGTTGTGATGATAACTTTATGAATCAAATGATGTTTTCTATAAATATGGTGAATACAAAAGTGGTAGATAATTTCCTTTTCTTGCTTATCCTAAACTTTCATGATTTTGGGCCTGATGGTTTAGGAGTTATAGATTTTAGAAGTTTGCTGTTAGGTTTTTGCTTGTCCTCTGGACAGATATGAATGATTGTATTGTTTGGCTCATTTAAACATGGAATCATGTATTGGTGATAATAGGAGAGTTGTTGTGCTTTTCCTAAGATTTCTAAAATGTCTAAGATCACTACTTTTGGTGGTCTAGAACTCCAGTTATAGCTGTTTAGAGTGGAATGACAGATCCTGTCCAAATCTGGACAGAGATGCCTTTTTGGTGTTGTTTGACCTTGTTAGCCGTAGAATCATCTTAAAATGATAATCAGAAAGTTATATATAACTTAATAATATTTCCATAAAGTTAAGAATCCTGTTTGTTGAATGTCTAGAACTCTAGTTATGCATTTCTGAAGTTAATATCAGTTTTTTGTCATTAGTTGTATAAGCTCTGCTTCATGATGTATTTTGACCTTGTTATTTATTGAATCACCTTTTTGTGTTAATAACAAAGTTTTAGATAATTGCATTAGATTTCCGGAAAGTCTTGAATCACACTTTTTACATGCCTAGAACTCTAGGTATGATTAAAACAAGTGACTGTAGTGCTGTTGTTCAGAATCGGTGTTTGTACCTAAACTTGTTTGCTTCACCTTGCTTTGCTTTGTGTGTTGCTAAGTGTGGCTCATGCCTTTGATGGTATTAAGTTAATATACCTAAAACCTTGTAAAACTTGTGTCATGCTTGGGGCAACCTTCCTTGCTATCCTAGTATGATAGGTTGTGGGATGTTTAATTAAGTAACGTGGAGTGCTTATATATGTTCAGTGTAACCTTGTGCTCATCTTGAATACTTTTATTTAAGGCATCTCAAATTGCCATTCTTCGCATTCATGCACTTGCATTGTTGCATCTCATCTAGGTATGCTAGATGCACCACGTGAAGGACGTGATGATGGAGTCGAACCAGAAGACGGTGTTGGTGGACCTATCACGAAGATGGAAGGACCCCTAGAGTACATGCCTGAATAGGAGATGCTCGCCAAGCGAGTGTCATCTAACAAACACTAACCTAGTGTTGGATCCCAGACAAGCCCTAGAGTATTTTAAGCCTTCTATGTTTTTACAAATATCACTTGAGTCCTTTATGTTCACTACACCACAACACCAAGATTAGCGATGGATGGTCTGACGCTAAAAACGGCTATAGCGACAGACAATCTGACGCTAAAAAGTTATAGCGATAGACTTCTGTAGATGCTGTAAGTCCTGTCGCTAAAAATCTTTAGCGTCAGACAGTACTTTTAGCGACAGACAATCTGCTGCCCTGAATATTTATAGCGACAGATTGTCCATTGCTAGTTTTTAGCGATAGATGCTCTGTTATCAAGCATATACCGACATACCATCCAATAGTCCATGTGTTTATAGCGACAGATTGTTCAACATGACACCATAAATATACAAAAAAAATAAATATGATGAGAAAATATTTATCACATATCAAACCTAGATTCAAGCTTAATATAGTGTCCACGTCACATGAAGGTACACAAACACATATATATCACATGGAGGTCAATATTTATTACATCTAATTTGTTTTGTACGCCATATGAGTGTAAGTCATTCAGCAAAGTCAAACATCAAAACAATTACATGAATGCACATCTCAACAGAAAATAATACTTTTGGTACAGGTTTGTAAGGCGAGGAGACATGCTGGTTGCAGCCCAAATGACTTGTGGTACAGGTTTGCTGAAACTTGAGAGGATCCATCTCCAGTTGCCCTCTACACAAAAAAAAAGAAATGACTAGTGACTAATGCTCAGATTTCCAACAAAAAATATCAAACCATCACCACTCAATACTTGTAGGGACATAACAAATTTAGAATGGCAGATGAACCATGAAAGATGGAAACAAGAGTTATATTCATGTTTGTTGCATATATATAGTAAACCAATACTTGTAGGAACATAACAAGTTCAGAATGGTCTAGTTGCAAGCTGGTAAATGAGCTACAAGAAAAGTACCAGTACGATTCATGCATATTTTTGTGCATAAGGCTGTAATCAGATAATTCACCAAAGCAGAATTGTACCTCAAGTACAGCTTGCTAAAACAGTAACTAACAACTAGTACTAACGAACATTCTAACGAATAGCCAAAGCAGTACGAAATTAACTTGATATTAGGAGTAACAAATTTTCTATAGACCAATTAAACAGCTAGTAGTGACAAATAATTTATCACACACAAGTAGTCCACACGATGTTTTCTCCAATACCAATTGGGTAACATTATGCAACTAATTTTGCAACAGCTGAAGTCTCAATGTTTTCGTGAGAATAAAGTCATCAGTTATAAGTGATATAAGGCAAGATATCACAGATGAAAAATTATCGGCTATTCAAAATGCCTATCATTTAAGTGAGGGCTGGCAGGAGATGGCTGCAGCACCTGGACAAATCTGAGGTCAACGATTGCAGCTCAAGAAAATATAAGTGAAGACAACACTTCCCCTGTCCCACCTTCTGTACAAGTACCAAAATTTGCTTCAGATAGTCAGATTAATACTATCATGTTGCATGCAGTCTGTAGCCTGAACCAAATGCAATGGCCATGTAGAAGAAAAAAATCAGATTGAGGACTAACCAATTACTTGACTAGGATTTGAGGCCAGTAGAAGGGAAGCTAGTACAATCACGTTGTGAAATCTTACATCATACTTCATCTACAAAGTAGAACTAGCATCCCTCTTATATCCAATGATCATGCATCGCATCTTTTCAATGGCAACCATATTATTGTTTTTGGCATAGGAGCAGCAAGAGATGGTTTATAGAATTTCAAGTTGATGAGGTAGCCAAAGTCAATAGATTTCACAAAGGATGTTTTCAATAATCCATTGCCCTAGAAAGTAGGATATGTCTGCAAGTATCTAGCCTTTATACTCAGAAAAAGTGATGACTACCATTTGGCAATCGTAGAGCTCGACAAGCGCTCTCAAATTTCCCCTTCTATTTGAGGGGCAATTGAATAGCTCAATAAATTCCCAACCCATATGGTGGCATCAATTCACTACAAGACATGTGTGGTTTTTTGACATTCTATTTATGTCAAAATATATAGAATTAATGTCACAGCTTAAGATATATGACCTCCAGTTGATGAAAATTCGAACGTCAAAAAACCAGGGTCACAAATTGATTATGTGACATTTGTAAATTTAATGTCACAAGGTTATGACATTGGATTTTAGTGTCATATAGGTTTATGACTTTGGTGTATTGTCATAAAATCTTAGGCCTTGCCACATGGGCAAATGCCACGTAGGATCAAAAGCTGACATGGCAAAGGAAAAAACGTCACAAAATGAATTTTGGCCCGCTAAAGCCCACATAGCAAGCAACCTCTTCATGGACCACAAGCTTGTTTTGACTGATATTGCCTGGCCCATTATTTTATTTTCATTTTTTGGCCCATTTTTTCAGCCCACACAATTTCAGCCCGTTCCAATTTTTTAGCTTGTATATTTCAGCCCATATTTTTTTAGCCCACATATTTCAGCCCATACATTTATTCAAATGAAATACATATACATTACATCCATCGACATATACATTACATCCATCAGATTCAAATGAATCAACATCACCACATAGGATTGCAATATCACAAGCATTCCACAAGTCTTAAAATGCAACACATATACCTTACATCCATCCACCAACTCAACATACATCCAGTCTCAAAGTCTCAAATTTTAACTTGCTGCTACCGCAGCCGCAACACAAAAACAACAGCAAGACACCAGTAGCACAGCGGACACAAGCACATAATTATCCTGCTACTACTGTTGTAAGTTCAGTAATCATTACAGCTGCCGCAACACAAAAACAGTAGCAAGACACCAACAGCATAGCGGACACAAGCATAGAATTATCTTGCTGCTACTGTTGTAAGTTCAGTAATCACCAAAATAGCATCCTTAGCCTCGCAGACACAGATGTCACCAAAATATGAGCCTAATTGAGTTGGAGAGCTTACGGCTGAGCATCAGGTGATGCAAACTTGTTGCCAAACAAGGTACGAAGGAAACCTTGGATTTCAAGGCCTTGCTGCTTCAGCTTCTCAGTTTCTTCTTTGTTCTTCCTTGCTGCTTCTTCATTCTTCCTTGCTGCCTCTTTCTGATCCTCTAATTGCTTCTGCACATCAGCCAGCTGTGATCGTAGTCCTGCTGATCCCATCTTCTTAGCTTGCAATTCACTCTCAAGCTCATTTACGCGATCATTCATTGCAGTAGCTTTGGCATTTCTCTTTATCGCTGTGGACTGCATGCCAACACTGCGAAGAAAAGTTGATTTTGGCATAACATGAGCTATAGCTTGAACATGAGTCTTCGGATCTTGCCCTTCTTCTGTTGGTTGAGCAACATAGGCCTCCATTTGAGCCTAGCAACAATAACACCAAAAAAGTCAGATTTCAGTGCTAGTTATGTATGTCCATAACTGATGTCTATATGGAAAGCAACATAGTGGAAGAAATGGAATGATGTCTATAGAATGGAACCTTCTATGCTAATTATCTGTGTCTAGAACATATATATGTAATGATGTCAATATGGAATAAAGATTTGTGCAAACATTTTTATTTTGTACTGATCTATTGTGTTGTTCACATAGTAAGAAATAGGGAAAGGTACTCACAATGGTATCCTTCGCTTGCTCATTAAAACCTGACTTGCTGCTGCAGTGGGTGTCCTTAAAAATATCAATCGTAGTTGGTGGCGCATCCTTAAATTTAGTTTACTTCTGAAATTACATACAAATAGAAAAGTAAATAACTGAAAACATATTGTAGTATATGTCTGGATAGAAATGACATTTTGACTCCAAAATGTTTGGTGTGGCGCGGAGACATTGTGCCACTGCGCGGCTGCGCCAGGCATCCAAATTTTGGTGCACATGCTGCTTTCTTTATACTGTTTTCTTATTATTATTACAACTAATAAATAATGGTACAAGGATAATAGAAATATGGCGCACGCCCTGGTCATGATTGCATCTTGATGTTTTCCTCTTCATGATTGCACTATAAATTTCAAAACATGTTTTCATTGTTTGATGTGTTTTCATTGTACAACTGATAGGAATAAAAGCATGTAAGTGATAGAACAAAAATCATTGTGCCTAATAAAAGTCATGTTAGGAACAAAAACATGATTAGTTGTTTTCCAAATGATTGTGTAATCAATTGTGTATACTACATTTTTTTCACTAGAAACTATTCGTAAAGTCTAGGGAGAGAAAATAAGAGTACTACTCAGAAAAGAACTGCGATGTGTCCGATCGTAGAGTAGTACTACTCAGACAAGAACCGCGATGTTGTCCGATCACATGCTCAAGATTTTCCACCCGTTGTAATGCACATGCATGTATGTTAGTACTAGTACCGCTATCGTTGCGCCACTAGGCCCAATCATTAACTAAGTACTAGTATGACATTGAAGATGTGGCTGCAGTGCAAGTTCGGAGAGGAGAGGGAATCGACGAAGATGGGGACATACTTGACCTTGTGGTGGTCATGGCCCTCCTCGATCTTGCTCATAATTCATGTCAGGAGCTTCTGTCGTCGATGTTGTCCACACAAAAATGGCAGAGAAAATGATTACAACCTAAATAGGGGTGGCACGCATAACACATGTTCATTTGGTGCGACAGACATTGGACATGTACCAAAAGGGTCCTAGTTCAAAGTCATTCTATTAACAGCGCTAGTACTAGTACCACCGTCGTTGCACCACTCTAGGCTCAGTCATCAACTGAGTACTAGTACGTCAACTCATGAATAAAACCTCGATCCAAGCATCTCTCATGATGCTTCGGTTGTATAAACGGAGTAATAGAGGAAGTCCTATAAGTGGAGAGTCAAGCTCAGATGCTAATACAACATCAAAGGTGTGGCCACAGAGCAAGTTCAGCGAGGAGAGGGAACCGGTGACCGATGTATTACTATATATATATGTCCTTGTTGTTCTAGATAATGGACAAACATGGCCAAAAGATTTAAAAATAAGCTTCTTAAATAGGTTTCGTAGGGATAAAAAGACTGTAACAAATAGTTTTTTAGAGATAATAGTTAGGTACGTGCTTGAAAATAGTTTGAAAAGTAGGAAAAAAAAAGATGTGGCTGCCGATATTCAGAACTGTTGTCATCTATGCAGATATTCAGAACTGTTGTCTAATTTTCAGAACTATATAACAAGGGAGATGCAGTGTATAGAATAAATTTATCAGGGCACAACTGCAAAAGTAGTGAAGCACAACAACACAGCATAGCATTAAAAATAGGCCAATCAAGATTCAAGCCACCAACCACAGATGCAGTGTACAGAATAACTACAAATTACATAACAGAACACTAGAATAGAACAGTAGTGCTGCACATATCCATCAAGAATTAAAAATTTAAAACAAACCAAGGCCAAATGGCCCAATTCAACTGCACTGTCTAGAACAACTGCAGTACAGGTTATTTAAATTGAAACCACAACTAAATCTAGTCGTATTCGCTATCATCGTCATCTTCTGGAGGGATTGTCGGACCTTCATTATCACTCACATATTGCCATCTAGTTTCATCTTCGCTATCGGCTAACTCATCTTGTTGCCCTTCTGCTTCTCTTTGTCTCCGGAGGTCATCAACTACACTAGCATCAACACGAACACCATCTTCACTAACCGGCTGCTCATTTTATAGACATCCTTCAGTAAGTTGAACATGCACACCTTCACAATCATCATCTTGGTAGGACAATACCACGGCATTGGGTATATCCTCATTGTCATTTTCAGCCACACTCCACAAGTTTCTGTGTGAAAAATTTTGAACAACTCGCCATTTCTCACGATACTAGGTGTCTAACAAATAAAATACCTTTATTGCCTATGTCGCTAGAATAAAAGGATCATCCTTGTACCACAAGCTACCATGGTTTATGCTTTTGAAGAACCCATCTTCATTCGGAACTTCTTTCCATGAGTGTCAAACCAATCACATTGAAATAGAACCACTGTCCTATTGCCACCCGAATCTGCATTGTATCTAAGCTCAATTATTTCCTTCAAGGAACCATAGAAGTCAATATCCTGGTTGTCATGTGTACCCTCAGCCATAATTCCACTATTTTGTGTTCTATTTTTCTCACGGTCTACAGTGTGGAATCAAACACCGTTAACAAGACATGCTGAATAAATTCAAACTTGCAGATCAGGCTCACATGACAGTGCAAATAGCTCATCATTTATGACTTGTCCTTCCACATAACGAAGTTTTGCAATCTGCACAAAAAATTAATGGACATAAAAATTTGCTTCTTAAACCAGGAAAAAAATGATGAAACAAATTAATTGAGATCAAACTCACATGCTTCTTAAACCATGAAGAAAATTGCTTCTCAAGGGTTTTTTGAACATTAGGACATCCTTCATTCTCCAACTCTTTCTTGTATATCCTAAAAAAGATAGTTAATTCAAACATTAGGGCTAATAACTAAGTTACAAGAAACAATGAAAATAGTAGATGGGCTAACATACTCAATATATGGCTCAGCCTTCGGATAATTGTTTAGTACGAACCAAACCATTTTTTCATAATCATGCTCAAGATATGTAAGACTTGGTGCTCCGAGAACATTAGCTCCATGATGGAAAACAGATAGGTCTCCTCTCACAATAGCAACACTCTCTATTCCTGCACTCTCGATTGTGTCGTGTCTCGACATCATCATCAAAGTACCTCGAGCAAATAGTCAAGCACTCAGCGGCAACATATGCTTCTGCAATGGACCCTTCAGGCCTTGCCATGTTCCTCACAAACCGTTTCAATGTTAACAACCTTCTTTCTACCGGGTACATCCATCCATATTGCACTGGACCTCTAAGAATTGCCTCTTCAGGTAAATGGACAGCCAGGTGTAGCATCACATCAAAGAAAGAAGGAGGAAATATTTTCTCAAGCTTGCACAAAATGATTGGGATGTCAGCTTTTAGTCTTTCCAACACATCTAACTTCAAAGTTTTTGCACAAAGTTGCTGAAAAAAATTACCTAATTCAGCAAGTGCTTCATATATGTCCATGTGCATGATTCCTCGGACAGCAATAGGTATAATCCTTTGAAGAAGAATGTGACAATCATGAGTTTTCAGTCCTTGGAGGTTGCATCCATCTGCAGTAACACATGTTGCTAAGTTGGAAGCGTATCCATCTGGAAATTTTACACTCTTCAAAAAATCACAAAAATGCTCCTTCTGTGTTTTAGTCATTGTGTAGGGGGCATGAGGAGTACTATATGAATCTCCATCATGGATCAAGTGTAAATGCTTCCTAATGCCCATATCTTCCAAATCAAGCCTAGAATTTATACCGTCCTTTGACTTCCCAGCCGTGCCTAGAAATGTACCAAGGATATACTCACATATATTTTTCTCAATGTGCATCACATCAAGATTATGCCGCAGCTTCAAACTTGACCAATATGGCAAATCCCACAAACATGACCTTCGCTTCCAACATTGGCCCCCTTCGTCCCGCTTTCTTTTTTTGCTTTTAGGATGCTTTCCTGGTCTGACATCCTTGACCCTCTCTAGTTGCTCCATCAGCTCATCCGTGGTAAATTTCTTTGGCTTCTCACGGTTTTCAACATTACCATCAAACACCTTGCTCCTCCTCCATGGATGGGCCCTAGGAAGGAAATGTCGATGGCCAATGTAACATATCTTATTCCTTATCCTTTTGGAGCAAGGGTTTTTGTCACAATGCACACAAGCATAATAACCTCTTGTGACTCTACCTGACAATGTGCTCAAAGCAAGATAATCATGAATGCACCATATTATAGCAGCATGTAAATCAAACTTCTTCTCACTAAGTGCATCAACAGTAGGGATGCCTTTCCAAAGCTCTAGAAACTCCTCAACAAGTGGCTCCAAGGAGACATCAATATCCTTTCTTGGGCATTCTCGACCAGGGATAAGCAGGCCCATGATAAAGTTGGATTGCTCCACACATTCCCATGGAGGAAAGTTGTACGGGATAAGAAACACTAGCCACATGCTATATGAGGAGCTCATTTTACCAAATGGATTGAAACCATCAGTAGCGAGGCCAAGCCTGATGTTCCTTGCATCTTCTGCAAACCATCCATACTTCCTGTCAAAGTCTTTCCATGCCTCGCCATCAGCTGGATGGTTGAGCTCATTCTCCACTGGCTTCCTCTTCAACTTGTGCCATTGCACCTCCTCTACTGTTCTTTTGGAACAAAAGATTCTCTTCAGCCTAGGAATCAACAAAAAATGTTGCAAAACCTTCTCAGGAATTTTCTTTCTTGCATCATTGTCTTTCCATCTTGATGCACTACAAACTGGACAAACATCATTTTTTCTAA